CTCAGATTTATTTTTTCTGAAAGGTGAAAGTGGCTCTCTGTATTTGCCAGGTAAAAAGGAGCAGTTAATTGGTAATTATGAAATTTTCCAATAAATTATCATTTGTTCTTTTTGGATCTTCTTTAAAAATCTTTTCATTACCATACTTTTTTTTTTTTTTTTTTGGTGAAACCTGATTTTGGTCTCCTTGAATTAGTGCAACTGGACTGTAGATGCCTGACCAATTTTGATGTGGAATCTTTGCATCTTATTTGAAATAGGGTAGTAATTAGACATTTTAATACTTATTTCTGAACCTTTGTTCTAAACCATAAAAATACGGAGTTTATGGTTAACATCGTATTAATGTGTATTTTTATTGAATTCATAAAATACCAAATTGTTTCCTAAGGATGACTCCAGAAAAAATTAGTAGTTGGAAAGATTTTAGTCAGTCTCCCATTAGAATTGAATACTTTTCTCTAAAACACTTTTAGTTGATGGAATTTAGAACTCATGGAATCCTACAGTTGTAATTTAGATTGTATTCAGCTAAATCATCCTTTGTTAAACAGTATGAGTTTGTCAATAAGAATTCTAGAAAGAAAAAAAAACTAGTGTGGATTTCAGATTTGGTGTGATGTACATATTTCCTGCTTGCTTTCCATCTAGGTGCACCCCTGGAAGTCCTCGAAGAAAGTCACTCAGGATGTGTTCTACCTACAAGTCTCGGGACCAACAGTTTGAAGAAAAGCAGTTGGGGGTTCCTATTTACTGGGATTATTGGCGGGACGCTGGTGGCCGTGTATGCCGTGGCCACACCGTTTCTAATGCCAGCCCTCCGAAAAATTTGTCTGCCTTTTGTACCTGCAACTACAAAGCAGATTGAAAATGTTGTGAAAATGTTGCATTGCAGAAGAGGATCCCTGGTCGATATTGGCAGTGGTGACGGGCGTATTGTGAGTTATGTTAAGACACTTGAAGGTTTCGAACTCGAGGTTTTAAAATTCCTGCTTCGTTGCTTTTTTTCTTTCTTTTCTTTTCTTTTCTCTTCTCTTCTCTTCTCTTCTCTTCTCTTCTCTTCTCTTCTCTTCTCTTCTCTTCTTTTCTTTTCTTTTGTGTTCCAGGTTTTTATTTAAATTCCAGGTGGTTAACATACAGTGTGATATTGGTTTCAGGAGTAGAATGCAGTGATTCCTCACGTCCAGGCAACACCCGGTGCTCATCACAAGTGCCCGCTTAACGCCCATCACCTTTCTATCCCATCCCAGCTTCACCTTTTGAGATTTATGCCAAGACCTGCTAATCTGACAATATAATAAAGTAGTGGTTTATTTTGTGTGTTTGGCCGAACTCTCAAACCCTCCAGCAGGAATTGGAATTTATTTTTCTCAGATTTATTTTTTCTGAAAGGTGAAAGTGGCTCTCTGTATTTGCCAGGTAAAAAGGAGCAGTTAATTGGTAATTATGAAATTTTCCAATAAAAAAACTCAGGCCAGTAGAGGTGGTATAATTAGAGGAAACATGTGGAGTCATGGAGTTTAACATAGATGTTTGCTTCTCCGCTTATCTGTGTTTATACATACATCATAATTCCTATGGGGTGATGTAGAGTTTTTGAAAGAGCCAGATCTCACTTGTTGAAAGATCAGACTTTTAGTGATCTCAGCTCACTGACTCCAGCTGAGAACCTATAAGTAAAGATTCAGGGCCACTGACTGGCCAGTGGGTGTCCCCAGCACGTTCCTCCACGGGCACGGTGGCACCATCCTTAGGCCCCCAACCAGTGATGACTCGGAAAGTGAGGATAACAGTAGTCAAGCCTCACGTTCTGGAAACATTTGGGTGGAGACCAGTAGGGGCGTGACTCCTTTCACCACCCGCTGGGTCATGAACCTTGCATCCTCATGGTGACCGAATGGCCAGGACAAGGTTAAAACATAACTCGTTTGTTTTTAGGAAATCAGGAGGTATATCTGTGAACCACGAGGAAGTTTTAAAACCCAGTTTTGAACGCTTTACACATCTGAGTAGTATCTTTGTGGTTTCCTTTACTTCTTAAGGGGGTGACACTATAATTAACGAGAGAAATTACTGTGGGCAGACAGCTCCTTCAGAGATGCTCCCTTGAGGAGTGGTGGCAAGACAGAGTGAGCAGAGACCCCAGGACCAGCCCATTGTCCTCACCTTACAGAGGCCGGTGGCCTTCTACAGTTGACTTTATTCTGACTTGTTCCATTTTACTCTTACCTGTTTTCAACTTTGAGTTGAACGGTCTTTAAATACTAAGGAAATGTGTAAGCAGTTGCAGGTTCTCATTGACAGGTCATTTTGATCACAAATTAGAACTAGTTTACAAAACATTCTCCCATAGCGGCAGATTCATTTTGCCTGCCACTATACCATCACTGATGGAGAGAGACAGTGAATTTTCAGCAACTTCTCGTCGGTCTGAGCCAGGGGTTGGCCAATCCAGAAATGCTCTATCCAAAGCAAACCTGACAGTTGTGATGCTTGAGGTGAAATCTCTGACAGAAACATGAACTGAGTTTAAATCAGCATTTTCTTGCCTACAAGCTACATAGTTTTAGAGATCTCTCTTTAAATGGTGTTTTCAACGGAAGTGCCTTTTGATTGGACATTTTGTGATTATAGACCATAAATAGGAAGTAGTCATATCACTGGACCACATTAAGTTGCTGTTTTTCTTTTTTTTAATTAATTAAAAAATTTTAAGTTTATTTTTTAAAATCCAGTATAGTTGACATACAGCGTTATGTTAGATTCAGGTGTACAATATAGTGATTCAACAATTGTGTGCCTTACTCGGTGCTCATTACGGTAAGTGTGCTGTTAATCCCCTTCACCTATTTCCCCCATCCCCCGCCTGCCTCCCCTCTGGTGACCAGTAATTTGTTCTCTATATTTAAGAGTCTGGTTTTTTTTGTTTGTCTCTGTATTTGTTCATTTGTTTCTTAAATTCTACATATGAGTGAAATCATATGGTATTTGTTTTTCTTTGACTTATTTCACTTAGCATCGTACCATTCTAGATCCATCCGTTTGCTGCAGATGGCAAGCTTTCAGTCTTTTTTTTATGGCTGAGTAATATTCCACTGTATATGTGTATGTACACCACATCTTTATGCATTCATCTCTCAGTGGACACTGAGGCTGCTTCCATAATTTGGCTATTGTAAATAATGCTGCAATAAACATAGAGGTACGTATATTTTTTCAAATTAGTGTTTTCATGTTCTTCGGGTAGATACCCAGTAGTGGAATTACTGGATCATCTGGTAATTCTACTTTTAATTTTGGGGGGAACCTCCGTGCTTTTCCACATTGGCTGCACCAAATTCACATTCCCACCAATAGTACACAAGGGTTCCTTTTTCTCCACATTGTCACCAACACTTGTTTCTTGTGTTTTTGATTTTAGCCATTCTGACAGGTGTGAGGTGGTATCTCATTGTAGTTCTGATTTGCATTTCCCTGATGATGAATGATGTTAAATGTCTTTTCATGTGTTGGTTGGCCATCTGCATGTCTCTTTGGAAAAATGTCTCTTCATGTCTTCTGCCCATTTTTAACTGGATTATTTGTTGTTTTTGTTGTTGAGTTGTGTAAGTTCTTTACATATTTTGTATACTAATCCCTTATAGGATATCATCTGCAGAGCTCTTCTCCCATTCCGTAGGTCGATGTTTTTCTTCTTACCTTGAATAAACACTGGTCTGTTTTTTCAGGTGATAGCAGCTGCAAAAGCAGGATTCACAGCCGTTGGTTATGAATTAAACCCCTGGCTAGTTTGGTACTCCAGATACCGTGCTTGGCAAGAGGGGGTGCACGGCTCTGCCAAATTTTATATTTCAGATTTGTGGAAGGTATGTAAGGCAGAGAATGGTCCTAGGAAATGCCAACCAAAACTTTGTAATTTGTAATTAGTATAATTAAAAACTGAAGAATGTATCAAAAGAAAAACAGTTAAAATACAAGTGTATATTTCAGCGTGATGAAATGTGAACACGTTTTAAATTGATAGATTTACAAATGAACTCTTTTAGAGTAGAAGCTTAAGGTTTCTAGACCTGATAGGTTATGTGAATTCCAAGAATTTGCTCATTTAAGAAAGTTCTCATTTCTCTTTGTTACAAAATGATGAGGTTTTTTTTTATCTCATTTGGAAATCTTATAAATTATAATATAGACATTAACTTGTTAATGTCATTCTTGGTAAATGGTAGACTTTTCTCTGTGTGTGCAAGTTTCTGTGTCGCTGCGTGTGTACGTGTGAGTCTATAGAGAGATGAGTACAAAAGAGAGAATCCACTGACTGTGTTGTCATGGTTCTTTCTGGTCTTCATAATGTATAAGATAACTTCCAAGTTTATTTGTACTCTAAAAAATAAAGTCCTGTAATTTTGCTTTAGGAATGCGCCATAAAATGCTTTTTCTTAAATAAGAATTTCCCGTTGTAATGTTGTCATCAGTAGCTTATAAAAATTCACTTGAGTTTTGCTTGCATTGTTTTCTATACCGTATATACATAAACAGTCTCTCTATAGAGTAAATAAGACTTTTATTGGGCAATAAGAATTTTGACTGGCAAAGCACTTTTCCCCCCAGTTTTTCAACTAAAGATCATTTTATTCCATTTTTTACTTAGTATTTTAGAGAAGAGGAGGGGGACTAGAATTTTAAGGATGGCTCAACATAAAAGACAGGTGCTTGTCCGATGTCACACGTTCTTGCTGAGTTAGTTTGGCATATGGTGGAGAAGAGTAGAGAGTGTGGATCAGGGCACAGTTGGCCCAGAGCACCCGGTGCGGCCACCAGCTGGTCACTGGATGAGTCACTGGCGTTTCCAACAGATGACCCCTGGGTGGGCCCTTCTGGGAGCATCCCTGAGGGTGACAGGAGTGACTTAGGGGAGGTGTTTGGACAACTGCAGTGGATTGAATTAACAGAAGCATAAACATGAATTCTTCTCGTTAGGTCTTAAAGGGAGTCACTCTTTGTGAAAACCTGCTATTTGACGAAATGGGACATTGCTGCACCCTTTGCAACAAAGGTTAAGCTTGATGTTTGGCCTTTTAAAACTAATCTGTGCATCGTTCCTCCTCTCCTCTAGGTTACTTTTTCACAGTACTCAAACGTCATTATTTTCGGTGTGCCTCAGATGGTGAGTATGCGTCCTCCTCCCCCTCATTGGTTGGCTTTAGGTCTTGTGTAGACCCTCCAGCTCTAACAGGCCACCTCCGTGTGGCCGCCCTCCCGTGTGCCCAGCAGCAGTCCCCCAGAGATTTGGGGATGGGGGACGTCGGATTTCACTGCACTGGCTTGACACACTACCTTGGGGCCTTAAAAGTTTAATCGTAAAAGATTCAGTCATGTCGTTACAACTTTTGCTCCAGATAAAATTCTCAACGATCTACCTAAGCCCTAAAAACTCCAATCTGGAAACTACCTTATGAGCTCCCGGTGTCTAATGTAGTTGGAGAGTTTTGCGGTTGCTCACTAACAGCCAGCTGCAGTCACTTGGGAGAGTTAATGGCATGTTCCCTTCAAATTGATGGTTCCTCCGGTTTTGCAGTAAGGCGATTTTCAGGGCGGGCGAGCGTCGACTAGTTTCAGTTGACCTCAGCTGACTGATTTGTATCGAACTTAGATTACATACTTTAAAAAGTGAAAACACCGTGGCATCATGCTGTAAATGGTTCCAAATTTAGCTTTTGGAAAGATGATGAGGATGGGATGCTTTTATTGTAATTGTTCGTTGACAGACCATAGAGAGAAATCCCTTTTGACTTTTCAAGCTCTGTAATTGTAGCCATAATTACCCATAATAATCCATAAACCATAAAAAAGCTGAAATGCTGCTATATAACTGATATGTATGGTTTATAAAATAAAAAAAGGGAAATTTTTTTGTTTATTTGTTTTCTTAGTCACACCTTTTTGTGTAAGACGGCTCAGTGCTTGTGAAATTTATTCTTACTACTAGGAACTTCAGTACGATGCCACCTTTTTTTTTTTTCTGTCGATTTAGAAGTGCTGTTGTTAACATATTCTCGAAAGTAGCAGGATTCTATATGTTTGGAATTTTCAGTAAGCCTAAAATTAAGATGAAATGTGGGTGTTCATCCTTTTGCTATAGAAACGAAAAGGGGCGTGACCCCTAGTCATTTAAAACAAACTGTTTGGGATCCTAGCACTGCTATGGACTTTGACCATTGTCTACTCCTGATGATGTTTGGGCAGTGTTTTGGAGCAAATAGATTTAATTTGAATTCCATGCTTTATAAAAAGGGAAAGTTGATGTTTATTGCGATTTCCATGCCATCCTGAGAGGCTGGCCGGTGGTGGCCTGAGGTGTGGGCCTACAAGGTCATAGCAGCTCCATCCCGGGGGGGGCGGGGAGGGGCAGCAGTGACCTGTGGGCTCCAACTCCTTGTGCATCTTACCATGTTTGAGCATCGTCAGTTTTTGGAGCTGTTCGCTCGGGAAATAAGAGTCCTGTTTTTTTGATGAATGCTTTTGCAATTATTGTCCATTTTCCTGTATGCAGAGAAACTTTAAGAACTTGTGCCATCTCACTGTTCCCAAGAGAAAGGGGAGCAGCTGAAAACACGAAGCAGCCACATTCCGTGGGATGAGAGGGATTCAGCCAGCAGGCCGTTTTCCACACAGGGGGCTTGTTCACAGTACCCCCAGGGGCTCGTTCCTGGGTGCAAGGCCCCGCTTTTGACCCTCACCGAGCCTTGCCTATGTGGAGGCGGTGAGGGGGAGGGAAAGTGCTGCCTGGGGGGTCAGGGGGCCAGCCCTGCTCTCTGGAGTCCTGGGAACCCTGATGGGGCCGTCTTCCAGTGAAATGTACTTGCCTTGTCTGAGCACTGGTTGGCATGGCAACGTGGCTCCACAAAGCCCGTGTAGCACCACGTTTCCTGTGGCAGGTGAGCCACATACAGGCCATGCAGGAGCCAGGAGAATGCTTAGGCAACTGGAGAGGGAGAAGCCTGGTGTTGTAAATCATCTACCCTGCTCCCGATACCACACCGATGGTTCTTAACAGCTCTTTGCTTTTGTGTATCTAACCCACCAGGGGTGAGGAATCTCATCTGGATCTGGTAAATCTAGTGCCAGCATGGTAAATACCCACATTTAACTCTAGCACATGCTCCTCTTTTCAAAATGTGAAACAGATCAGTTGTTTCCTTGTGTAAAACCCACCTGGGACGTCTTGCTGCTTTAAAGCAGTGAAGATAAGGCACGACCTCTCCACCGGGCCCGAGGCCTGGTGTGGAGCGGCCCCTGCCTCCCTCAGCTCTCTGTGCATCAGCGCTCTGTCCTTCTCTAGGCCCCTGGATCCACAGTGTGAGCTGTGTTCTTCCCTCTGGCTTCAGTCCCCCCAGCTCTGGGCCTAGTTGGTGAACGCCTCCTGACCACTCACAGGTCAGGTGTCCTTTCCTCCAGGAAGTCGTCCCTGATTGCTCGGTGAGACAAACCCCAGTGCTCCTGTTTTCTATCTGCTGGTCCCTGTTCCTTCTCCAGAGTGAGTCATCGCACATTTCCTTACGTGGTGGCCTCGGCCGGTTTGCTGTGTGCACTGTAATGTATGTTCAAGAGTGAGCTTTCCGTCAGCTCGGCAGCACCAGCACAAAGTAATGACTCCGGAAATACTTGTGAAATGAATGAAACGTACCCAGTAAGGACACTTCATGGTGGGCTATTAAATTTTATAACTTCAAAGATTAATTTTAGTTATGAATCATGTTGTAAATTGATAAACATAAATACTATCACCATATTTTGATAAAGATAAATGATTCATGATGGGATCATGTGTCCTTCGTTCATTCATTCGACAGGTATTTATTTGGTGCCACAAAGTGCAAGACTGCGTTCTAATCACTTGGGATACTTTAGTGAATGAAAAAGAGGAACATCCCTACCCCGAGGTGCCTAGATGCTAGTGGGGAGAGCAGATATTAAATGACGTCCCTATATAAAGGGCTCCAGGCTGGCTCAGTCAGCAGAGCACGCGACTCTTGATCTCAGGTTTGTAAGTTCAAGCTCTACATTGGTCATAGACCTCATTTAAAAAAAAAAAAATCTTAAAAAAAATAAAATGTTGTCCAACAGGAGGGGGTAAGTGCTGTGGGGTGGAGTAAAGCAGGAGAAGGAGGGGCAGAGACAGTGTCCCTGGGAAGGGGACGCGTGGAGGTATGGGGAACGTGCCGGGCAGAGCCACCGTGGAGGCGCCCAGGGGTCTGTGCCTCTTAGGTTCCAGCAGCAGCAGGGAGAGGTGACGTCAGAGGGGAGCTGGGGGCCAGGCGTGAAGGACGCTGTGCTGTTGGAATGCAGGAGCCCTGGCGGGTTTGAGCAGAGGAGGGAAGGACCTGCCTGGGTTGCGAAGGACCCCAGGCTGCTGTGTGGAGACCGAATGTGGGTAGAAGCCGGGGAACAGGTTAGGAGCTCCTGCAGGCAGCTGGGCAGCTGGTGTGATAGGCTTGTGCCGGTGTGCAGAAGCTAATTCGAATCGGTCAAGTTCTGCATGCGTCGAGAAGATGCATGCAGATGCAACTGACAGGATGCGTTGGCATCGCCACTGTGGGGCGGGCAAGAAAGAGGAACCATTCCTCAAGGATTTTGGTGAGAGCAACTGGAAGTTCGCAGTTGTTACTGAGCTGGGGAAGGTGCGGACAGAGGCGCTGGAGGAGGAGGATCAGGAAGCCTGAGGTGTATGTGGAGGTGTGAGGTCGGCAGTGGTGGGTAGAGGGGGTCTGGGGCTCAGGAAGGAGAGGGGGCTGGAGATTGGGCATCAGCTCCCAGAAGGAGTTTAAGCCCAGGAGTGGCTGAGGTTCCCCGGGGAGGGGGCAGAGCCGGTCAAGGCCTGAGCTTTGGCCTCTGACAAATGAGGGGCACCCAGCAAAGGACTCGAGTGGAGGAGTTGGGTAGGAGGAATGCCCGGGGGGGGGTGGGGGTTACCCTAGAAGCCAAGTGAAGCCAGTGTTTTGGGGAGGAGGGAGCCATCACATGGATCAAGAGCTGCTCATGGGCATGGCTGTTTGGTCTTAATATCTTTGCGCTGGTTTCAACTCACGTTTAAAGTTTTGAAGATGTAGTTAGAATATGATGAGTTCGTGTCACTTTGAAACCTCTGATTGTGTGAATAATTTGAATTCCATTAGACAGACATGACACATCACTGCCTCTCTTTGTGTGTGATATCAAGACCCAGGTTCATTGCATATTTATGTGTGATTGACTCAGTTAATTTCTTACCATTGAACTAGCTCCTTTCATTTGTGGGTTTATCTTGACTTAGCATATGACAGTCATTGGGAAATAAAAGAAACTGTAAAAGAGAACAGAATAATGATAACATGAATACATTTACAATGATCCTTTTGATGAACAAAATTACTGTAAGTTTGAAACCTCTGATATTTTGGAAAAACACATATTGTCTCATTCTTTGCTTATTTAATTTTTCCTTTGAGGAACAAAACTTTTTTTTTTTTTGAAGAAATCTTTTATTGGCTATTAAAAGAGTAGAAATATCCCGTCCTTAATGGAATTTATTCTTGGTTATCTTGGTATTGTCATGAAGAGTCAAGAGTTTTCGTTCACTCTAGCCAGAGGTCACATGGAGGACTTTCCACCAGCCACTTTTTAAAGATACAGGTCGGGAATAAAGTCTTCATAGAAGGACTATTGATTTGTTTGTCTTGATTTATTTGGTTAGTTTTAAAGGGATTAGTTTTTGCTCAGATCTTGGTTTCGAGATAATCATTTCCCATTTAGAGGAGCCAGGAGTGTCTGAGAGGTGTCTGATCTGAGGGCTGAGGAGGGGGATCGATAGAAAAGCCGGGGGCATTTTGTGGAGCACAAATATGAGGAAGTGTTCAGAATATTTGTTGGGTGTGCATCCAATGGAGAGAGAGAGGCCCACTTGAGGAGCCTCCCCAGGGCCACACTGGGACAGTCTGAGCATCAGAAGAAACAAGGATGATGGTGGATTAGAACCCATTGAACAGAATAGGAATCTAAGAGCTCGTACTTAGAGTGATAGGTACACAGGTAGAAAGAAGGGAGAGGGCTCTTCCTTGCCCCAGAATGCCAACTGTCAGTTTAGAAGGAATGACAGAATTAGCAAATTGCCACTTTGCAATTGTACTGTGAAAATTGACTCAGGCCAGAATCATCAAGAATGCTACATCTAGGGCGCCCGGGTGGCTCAGTTGGTTAAGCAACTGTCTTCGGTTCAGGTCATGATCCCAGGGTCCTGGGATCGAGCCCCACATCAGGCTCCCTGCTCCGCGGGAAGCCTGCTTCTCCCTCTCCCACTCCCCCTGCTTGTGTTCCCTTTCTCGCTGTGTCTCTCTCTCTCTGTCAAATGAATAAAAAAAAAAAAAAAGAATGCTACATCTAGTGAGGGACAGTTCCTTGAGCAGAAGGATATTTACATCATCTCAAGCTACCTCCGACAGATTATTCATTATAAGGGGAAATTCGTAACCCCACTATGGAGACAGCAGATATCACCCTAGCCGGATGGTGACCATCACTCTCAAAGCAGAAGGTCCCCATGGGCACCCGACAGTGGGGCCCTGAGAAGCTCACAGCCCCACTTGTGGGACATTGCCCAAGATGCACGTGCCGAGTTGTCATGAGCAGATGTCAGGAGAACCCAAGGTGAGGACCACTGGTGAATAACTGGCCCGTCTTCCTAAAAATGGTGTCAACGGAGACGAAGATGGAGGAACCGTTCCAGATGAAAGTAGACTAAGGAAACATAGCTAAATGCAGCATGACCTCATGGGGAAAGTGTCACAAAGGACGTTATTGGGACATTTGGCAAAATTGGAAGGCTATTGGCATTACTGGAATACAATCTTAAATTTCCTGAATTTGTTGACTGAGCTGGGGCTGTGTCTTAGTATCAAGGAATAAAGGGATGTGTATTCTCAAATGGTTTAGGAAAAATATTCCTAGAGGAAGAGGGCAAATCAGATAAAGCAAATATGATCAACAATTAAAAATTGGTGAACCCGGGTGAAGGAAGACAGGAATCCTTTGTTCTATTCTTGCGACTTTCCTGTAACTTTGAAATTCTTTCAAAAAAACAAAAGAAGTGGAAAAAATAGTTTTAGGAGGTGAAGATGGTAGGAACAGAAGATCAATTTTTAAGCGGTTGTTAATTTGCTGATATAATTACAGTGTCAATACTTGTAGCAGGTAGATTGGTAATAAAAAGATACAAAAGTGATCAATAAAAGGATTTTACTTTGTATAAGTTATGTTGACTATGAAGAAGTTGTCCATGCATTATAAATTTTGAAGAATTATGAAATATTTCATTATATTTCTGGTAGAACGAGTATATTTTTTCATGGTCTAATTTAGTAGTACCATATTTCACCGAATCTAGATGCTACTAATTTTAGGATGTAGCATGGCTACTGAGAAAGAAAAAAATATGGCCAATTGTAGTTCTAAGACTGTGTCAGCTGTAAGATGTATCCTGATTTCTGAGATGTTAAGACATGTGGGAAAATGTGTTAAATAGTTGAGACGGGGTAGATTAAAATGTTAGGTGGGCAGATAATTTAAAAAGCTGCTACTCATTTTATTTGTTTCTTTTTAAATAAGGGTATTTTATTTCATTTTTGGGGGGGAGGGGCAGAGGGAGAGAGAATCTGAAGCAGACTCCCTGCTGAGGGTGGGGCTCAGTCTCATGACCCTGGGATCGTGACCTGAGCCAAAATCAAGAGTTGGACACTGGGTGCCTGGGTGGCTCAGGCAGTTGAGCTTCTGCCTTCGGCTCGGGTCATGATCCCAGGGTCCTGGGATCGAGTCCTGCATCGGGCTCCCTGCTTGGCGGGGAGCCTGCTTCTCCTCTTCCCCGCTTGTGCTTGATCTCGCTATCTCTGTTGCTGTCTCGTCTCTCTCTCTTTCAAATAAATCTTAAAAAAAAAAGAGTTGGACACTTAACTGACTGAGCCACGCAGATGCCCCTGTTGTTAATGTCACTTCCGTGTTTTAATGGATCATTTGATAATGTATTTATGCCCCGAAGGGATCTTATTTACAGTTACTGATTTCTTTTTTAAAGATTTTATTTATTTGAAAAAGAGAGAGAGGGCACGAGTGGAGGCAGAGGGCGAGGGAGAAGCAGGCTCTCCGCTGAGCAGGGAGCCCGATGCAGGACTCGATCCCAGGACCCCGAGATCATGACCCGAGCCGAAGGCAGACGCTTCACTGCCTGAGCCACCCAGGCGCCCTTTGATTCCAAATTTTTGCACAGGTATTTTCAGGCACTCAGCTCCAAAAGAATGTTTGGGCATCTTTTCCTCCGACTCACCGCTTACTGAAATAACGACTGTTGTTCCGCACAGATGCCGCAGTTGGAGGAGAAACTCACGCTCGAACTGAAGGATGACGCCAGAGTCATTGCCTGTCGGTTCCCTTTCCCTCGCTGGACCCCAGACCACATCACTGGGGAGGGGGTGGACACCGTGTGGGCCTACGACGTGAGCACTGTGAGAGGCAAGGGGCCCCGAAGACCTGTGCACTTCCAGCCGATCATTCAAATGTAGACTTAATTGAGCACGGTTTCCCAGGTGTTTTTATTATCATATCCCAACGGGTCCTCGGGAGAGGATTCGATTTTACAGAGACTTCGATTTTACAGAGACTTCCAGCTGTGTCTTAAGCAAAGTATATTTTTCTTTGGTATGGAATGAAAAAGTACTATTACTTTCCTTAACTTCTGGGAAACAAACAGAAGTCAAGAATAGCAGGTAGATTTTAAAGTCCCTTTTCATGCTGTATTCGAAAAAGTGGTCTTACTGTCCTTCCATGCGCTCAGATGTATGAAAATATGAATGAGTGATACTCATTTTGATGTGCAGGAAGATGTGAACAGCTCCTGACATTATAAAAAATATGATTTAATGCCAGAGATGAAAAAAAAAACACTTTTTACACCTGATCTTAGCCAAAAGGCCGAGAAGCGATTAAAAAAAACCACTTTTTAAAGAGGGTATGTCTTAACAAATATTTGTAGTTTCCTCTAACTTCATTCATACTTAAGATTTATGGATTTTTTGTCTTTCTTTTCTGTACTTCATTGTAAAACTAATTTTCTGAAGCATGTGGGCCCTCATATTTTATAACATTTGTTAGGAATCATTTGTTCCAAGGCTAGTGGATTACTGTATTTTATTGAATCTGAGATATGTATGTGTGTGTGTAAATGTGTGTGCATAGACATACGTTTGAACATTTCTGAAATGGTGATGAACCTTCCAGTCAATGGTGTTTTGTGTCTGTGTTCAGTGGTGTTTTGTGTTGTATGTCATGATATCGTTGCACATCAGCCAGCACTGATGGGATCTCAGGTTTGAGGAAATGTGCTCAGAGAAGCTGCAGGATAGAGTGGAGTAGTTGGTAGTAGCATAATACTAAAATGAGCAGTCCTGCGCTTGGGATTCAGCCATCCCTGACAGCAGATCCCTGCCTGGCCCCCAGCAGGAGGCCCGGGGCCAGTGGCTTGCCCCTCGTGGAGCCTTGCTTTCCCAGCTGTCCCGAGGACCCATTGGGATAATGATACACTGAACGGGACGTTTCTGGGTAAACTCACGACACAGAGTCTTCAGTCTATAAGTGGTATTTATTATTTTAGTTACTAAAGAAAGTTACGGATTGTTTCTGCTAGTTGCTTCTTGACTTTATGAAAGCCGCCATTTATGTAATATTTCTCATGTATGAGAGGAGACTTGACTGATTTAGATAAAGACAGGTTAAGGAAAACCTTTGAATGTGAGTAGACAAGCTTCATGTATCTGAAAATTAGTATTAAATGGTGCCTCGAATAATTCCTATGCATCATAGGAAAGAATCGAGCTCCCAAACATACACACCTGTAACCTAAATACCAAACAGGTTTGATAAGATGAGATGGTTTGCATTTTTAACTGAAATCCTGAAACTATGATCAGCTTGATAATTGTCATTTAAATGAGCAGCAACCTGGAGACTCATTCATTCATTCAGCAGATCTTACTGAGTATCTACTGTGTAACAAGCTTTTCCAACTCACTGGTGAATAGACCTACAAGGCCGCTAATCTTATGGCATGTATATTCTGGAAGAACGAGACAGACAAATACGAGAGTGAATGTTAGTGTGCGTGGCGTTCTCTGAAAGAAGTCAACAGTGTGGACAGTCTTGGGCATTTGTCAGGTTTTTGGCTGCTACTGTCCATCCCTTCCCAATGGCCCCCAGTTTCTGAGGAAAGAATTCTCTTCAAGAATTCGGAGAGTGTGTGTGTAGTTTGCTGTCTGATCCTCCCTGTCACTCCCGCCAGCCCTGTGACTTGGTTGGGCACGCTCGGAGAGGGACCCATCATAGCTCCCTGCCGGGCAGGTGTGACGGTAGAGACAGGGTTTTGTATTCAGTAAGGATGTATTTAGTAAGTTTCTAGACACTCCTGGCGGATTTCTGGAGGCATCAGGCTATCTGGAAAGGCATATGTAACTTGCCGTTTTTGGATTTCTCCTTTAGCTTCCCAAGAATTAGATGATGCCTGGTCCTGCAACCTCAGAATAAAATAGACCATTTCACGGAAGTGTGGAGATTCATGGAGTTTGTAAGATCTTTAATTGATTTTTTTCAGCTGGCCTTCAAGTAGCCCGTAAGCGACCTGTAAGAATATTATTGTAGAGGTTATCGTGGCTTCTCTGACTGGCTGGTTTCAATGATCAGTTACTGGATTGAGGATATTGATTAAGTTTGCACACGACACAAGGCAAGGAGTGAGAGCTACTATTTTTGATGTCAAAAGTAGGATTCAAAAGTGCCTGACAGATTGAAATCAGGGATAAGTGCTAACTTGATAAAATTTAAAGTTCAAACAAACAAGAATAGAAATAGAGCTTAGTGGTGACATAGCCAAACAGGAGCTGTTGTGACCAGACCTGGAGGTTCCGTCGACATTCGGCTCAATGACCAGCACATTCCTGTCTGTATGCATCTTTCTCTAAGAGCTTGGCCCCAGGGTTGCAAACCCTGCCCTCCCCTGGTGTCCCAGGGGGGCTTTGTCGGACCCTCCGCCGATCCTGGCATTCAGACTCTCTGAAATGCTTAGCTCCACCAAGAGGCTGTGAAACCAAGTTTAAAAGATTTAAGAACGGAGACTCTTGCAGATACACGGTGTTCACTGTTGCTGAGAGATGGGGTACACTGTGACAAGCCACAGCCAAACAAAACAGAAAAAATGCAGGATTCCTGACGTTTCCACCTCGTGGCTGGATACTACGCGTCTGCCCAAGGACTTGCCCCGATAGCCCAGGGTTGGAAAGAGCTGTCGTGAAGGCATAGATGTGCTCAAGTGCAGGCGTCTTCCGAGCCTGTGCTGTAGTGTGTGTTTGCTAGACCACCTGCCGTCCTCTGGGCGGCGGCGGAGTGTTTCTCACCTGGCCTGGGCACCCAGATCTGCAGGTCTCTGAGCCGGGCACCTGTCCCGCCTGAAGGTGTGTAGACGCTGCTCTCTCCCATCCCACGGCCATCTCCCCGCTTTCTGGTATCGGAACCCCCAGTGCTTCAGGGGTCAGGCACTAATGTGTTCAGGGACCTTGGGCCCGGCCAGTTGTCTGAGCCCATCTCCTGGGCGTCAGGGTGGGTGGTGGGCTATGGGCATGTGATCCAGTTCCTGCCAATGAAGTTTGCAGGGCCATCTGCTGGGAGCTTTGGGAAAGGTTTTGTTGTGAACAGAAGGAGGTGCTTGAGGAGGGAGCATCCTTCCTGTCTTTGGACGACAGGCTGTATAAAGCAGGAACACCTGCCGTCCTTATGGCTGTTTTGCAGCCACCAGGGGGAAAGTGAAGATGGGGGCCAGGAGGCTGGTGGAGCAGAAAGATGGACAGACTCCAGGTGTTTGGCGAGACCACGGAGTTGCTGAATTGACCCGGAGCCTCTGACGTCAGGACATCTTACGTGAGGTGACAAACCCACATTGTTGCTCTCCCACAGGTGTGGGATGTGCCCTATGGCAGCCTGGCCGAGGCAGGAGGGTGTGAGGCTCAAGTGGGGGGAGGGAGCCTGGCAGTGTGGAATGCAGGCACCCCTGAGCCCTTGCCCCCTGTCTGGAAGGCGCTGCTGGACAAGGCACTCGCTTGGCAAGGTCAGAAGCATGTCTGGAGTATTCAAGAGGGACGGAGAGCTCCCAGGAGCGGAGGCCCTACTCCCTCCCAGAGTGGCGTTTGGGCAATTGTACCAAGTCAAGAGGGCTCTGAACGTGGACCCAGCCTTCACCAGCGGCAGGAGTCCTCCTAGGTGGGCATCCTGTTCTTGGGGACATGGGCAGGGCCGAGTAACAGCGGAGCCTCAGCCACATCCTTGCACGCAGGGAGTTTTGTCGGTGGAAAGATGATTCTTCAGGATTAGAAAGGAATTAATGAAGGGAAGAAAACACTCAGACTGCTCTCTTGGCAGTTGGGGCTGCCAAGGGGAGAAGCCATGACGTGGACTGTGCGTTTTGTGTCCTTAGGTTGAAATCCTGACCTTCTGTGTGCTCATACGAGGAGGCTGGGCCTTGGAGAGGTGCTTAGGTCCTGAGGCTGGAGCCTTCCTGAAGGGGATTAGTGCCCTTACAAGGTGACCTCAGAGAGCCCCGTCCTCCACATGTGAGTGGGAAGACAGCCAGCTACAACCCAGTAAGGGGCTTCTCACTGGGCACCCAGTGTGCTGCAGCTGGGATCTGAGGCTTCTTAGCCCCATAGCTGAGCAGAATAGATGCTCGTTGTGTGGGCCCCCGGGCTGTGGTGTTCAGTGACCAAAGTCCGAGCTGGTAACCTAGACAGTCTGCACCCAGCGTTATCCAGACTTATCCCCGCTGTAGTCATCATTTCCTGGGCCCACATGAGGCACGGAAGTTGCAGGGAGCCAAGCTTCCAGAGGATTCTCTCCAGTGCCAGGTGGGGAGAGCAGGAAACCGTCCCCCTGATGTAATGGTCAGGGCTGGGTGGCTGGGCGGGCTCCCGAAGTTCCCCTGGGCTCCCCTGTCTGCTTGACCGTCGGGGGCCGTGGTTGGCACTATCACAGGGGGAGGCTTCTCTGGGAGGGGTCTCTTCTGTGCCTCCCGTCTCATGGAGGACGCTTTCGGCACAGTGTGTCCCTAAACCAACATGGGTGATACAAAAGTAACTAGAGCTAGAGGGATGAGCTGCTGTGTTGACGAGCAGACGTGATTCTAGATGGTGAAGGGTCTCGAGAGCCTGTCCTACGAGGCACAGTTGTTTCCCCAGGATGAGAGGAGGTGTAGAAGAAACAGGACAGGCGTTTCCCAATGTTTGAAGGCTTGCCAAGCAGAAGAAGAAAGGGAAAGTGATAATGACCATGACGACTGTGACCTAGGAGTTTCCGTTCACAGAAACACCCCGTTCTCATCTTTAGGGAGGAGGTACTGCCTACTGTTTTCATTCTTAACCACAGGGAGATGAGGTCACCTCGCTCAGTCCCGACCAGACCCGGGAGCACGGAGTCTTACTACGCTTGGTTGCTTACCTGCAATTAGACCTGTTCTAACTGGCTCAGAGGCGTAAACTTGGCTCTTGGCGTTGGTGC